ATATATATTATATATATAGATATATATATATATATATCTGTATCTATATATGAATACGTCTATATATATATGTATATATATATATATATACTCATGCATAGATACATAGGTGCATGCATATACATATAGGCATATACATATATATATATATATCTATTATATATATATATATATGTTACATGTAGATAAGGTGTATTAGAGGTTTGTCTGCTGAGGGGTTTTTGTTAATTATAGTGGCGTTGGGTCTCCCCAAACAAAAGCAGAAAAAAAGTTTTATTCAATCAAGTCCAGCACGTCTTGCTGCTGCTGTTGTTGCTGCTGCTGTTGCTGCTGCTGCTGCTGTGGCTGCTGCTGCTGCAGCAGCTGCTGCAGTTCATGCAGCGATGCGGTGTATATACTCCCTGCCTTCTCTGGTGAAACATCTGCATGCGGGTCTTCTTCTGTTGTAATTAAATATATTTTTCTTTTATTTACAAACAAATCCCAAAAAAGACTCGCTCCTATCTGCAGCGCCTGACACCCTGCTGCTGCTGCTGCTGCTGCTGTTGCTGCTGCTGCTGTTGCTGCTGCTGGTGCTGTTGCTGTTGCTAATGCTGGTGCTGCTGGTGCTGTTCCTGCTGCTGGTGCTGCTGCTGTTTCTGCTGCTGGTGCTGCTGCTGTTTCTGCTGCTGCTGCTTGCTGCTGCAGCTGCCGCAGCTGCAGCAAGAAGACGTTAAATGCTCGTCCCTCTAATTCTCTCGCACAGCCACTCCTCAGCGCCTCCAGACAAAGCATAGCCCGCACTAAATAACGCAGTGGCATGCAGCCAACCTGCTGCTGCTGCTGCTGCTGCTGCTGCTGCTGTTGCTGCTGCTGCTGCTGCTGTTGTTGCGGTTCCTGGTGTTTCACCTGCTGCTGGCAGTGCACACCGCCTGCTGCTGCTTCTGCTGGAGCAGCAGCAGGAGCAACAGGAGCAGCAGCAGCAGCAGCAGTAGCAGTAGCAGCTAGATGGTGTTCACCAGCACGCTGCAGCAGCTGAAGTATTATTTGCTTCATTTCTACGATGGCTTTGTCTGTTAGATCTGCTTCTTTTATATTTAACATCGATTCGAAGTCTTGCACAGGGTTAATAGATCTTACTGCATACTGCTGCAGCAGTTGCTGCTTCTTTTGCTGCTGCTGCAGCTCTTCCTGCCGCTGCTGCTCCTGCTGCTGTTGCTGTTGCTGCTGCTGCTGCTGCTGCGGGTCAGCCGCAGCAGATTGCGGTGTCTCTGTAGGTTGCTGTGATTGCTGCAGCTTCACTTCGTTTAGCTGCAGGATATTTTCTTTTCGAGTAAACTCCTTCGATAGGGCAGCTGCTGCTGCTCTTCGTGCTGCAGCAGCAGCAGCAGCAGAAGCAGCAGCATCTCGCAGGGGCCCCTCAGCCACCAGAGGAAAGAGAGAAGCAACAGCAGCAAATACCCCTGAGTGTTTTGCTGCTCGTCCATGCTCCGGTCCAGAATCTGCTGCTGCTCCTCCTGCTGCTGTTCCTGCTGCTGCTCTTGCTGTTGCTGCTGCTGCAGCTGCTGCTACCTCCGCAGGAGACGCAGCACGAGCAAAGAGTTCATCTATAGCGTTGATCCTATCGTCATACTCAGCCTCACCCTTCTGCTGCTGCTGCTGCAGCAGCTGCAGCAGCTCCTTCTTCTGCCCGTCCTGCTGCTGCTGCTGCTGCTGCTGCTGCTGTTTGCCTCGCGCTATAGCAAGTATTTTATTTGCAATTAACCTCAGAAAGAATTGCGACGTTGGGTTTGAAACCTCCAGCGGATTGAAGAGACCATCAGCAGCAGCAGCAGAAGCAGCAGCAGAAGCAGCAGCAGCAGCAGGAGCAGCAGCAGAAGCAGAAGCAGCAGTAAAAGCCCTGCAAGAAGCAGGCACAAATGTTGGGGCGTCTGGAGATGAGAACACGCTGCTTCTGCTGCTGCTGCTGCTGCTGCTGCTGTTGCTGCTGTTGTTGTTGTTGCCGTTGTTGTTATTTTCGCCGTTGCTGTTGCTGCTGCTGTTGTTGCTGTTGCTGCTGCTGCTGCTGCTGCTGGGGTTTGCTGCAGCAGCGCTGCAGAGCGGATGCAAATGCATGCAGATGGCGGTGTCTGTACAGCCACATCCTAAGAAGGGGGTTCCAGCAGCAGCAGCAGCAGCAGGAGCAGCAGCAGATAGAGACAACTGAAGAGCATCAATAGCTTTTTCTATTGCTTTAACTTCTGCAGCACTGCAACTCACAGGAGCAGCCAAAGAAGGATAAGAAATGTCCTCCGAAAAAGGAAGATGAACTAAACAAAACGCATGCTGCACCTGCTGCTGCTGCTGCTGCTGCTGCTGCTCTCCCAGCTGCTGCTGCTGCTGCTGCTGCTGCTGCTGATCTACAAAAGAACCTCTGGGGATAAGGAGGACAGGCCTCGGTAATGCATTATCTCTTGGGGTGTATCGGCATAAGAGAGCTGCATTTAAACGAAGACAAGAATAATATAAACAAGTAAATGCAAATTGAGAAAGAGTATCTGCTGCTGCTGCAGTCACCAACTCGCTGCTGCCTACAAACCACCTGCAACATACACAAAATATAATATAATGCTGCAGCAAATTAGTTTGCTGAGGTGTATATACACTCCACAAGATCAAGGATTAAACAAATGATTATAAAGATATAAATAATAATATTAATAATAAAAATGATAATAATAAATATTATAAATATAATAATCATGAAAGTAAAGATAATGCTAAAATTAATAAAAATAAAAAGAAAGAATAAAAGATAAAGATAAAATTAATAAAAAGTAAAAGTAAAGATAATGATGACAAAAACAATAAAAATAAAAATGAAGATAAAAATAATAAAAATAATAAAAGATATTGATGATGATGATAGTAGCAATAATAATAATAATAAAAACAAAGATAGAGAGCAATAATAAAAGTAATAAAAATAATAAAAATAAAGATAATAATAATAATAAAAATGAATAAATAATAAAGTTAATGAAAATAAAAGTAAAGATAATAATAAAGAAGATAATAATAAAGATAAAAGTAAAGATAATAATAATACTAACAAAATAATAATAACAATAATAGTAAAGATAATAATAATAAAATAGTAATAAAATAATATAATAATAATAATAAAATAATAATAAAATAATAAAATAATAATAATGATAATAATAATAAAATAATAATAATAGTAATACTAACAAAATAATAACAATAATAACAATAATAGTAGTAAAGATAATAACAATATTAATATAATAATAAAATAATAATAAAATAATAATAATAATAATAATAATAATAATGAGTGCTCACCATCTTTTGATGTTTTGTCTGTTGACGATTGCAATTAATTTAATTTCTTTTTTTGTTTTTAAATTAAAAAAAGTTTGTAAATCAAATGCAGAGACCGGAACAAGCTGCCCCCCACAAGGAAAAGCAAAAGCAACATCATCATCATCATCTGCTGCTCCTGCTGCTGCTGCTGCTGCATCATTATCATCATCATCTGCTGCTGCTGCTGCATCTGCTGCATCTGCTGCAGCAGCAGCAGCAGCAGCAGCAGCAGGGCGCTTTGAAGGTAAAGAAATAGGTTTTTTTTGGGGGTCATCAGCTCTATAGAAGAATCTGTGTGAATATAAAGGTAGATATTGAGGTGTATATACACCTGAAGTTTGCTGCTGATTGCATGCAGCAGCTTTTAATCGACGACGTACAGGAGGAGAACCCTCTGATTTACAAAGAATATAAATACTAACTTTTAAATGAATTGAAGGAGACAACCAAAAAGCAAGATGAGCTTTTGCTGTTGTCTTCTTCGCTTTTGTTATTATGCGAGATAAACACAAACGCTGAAAGTTATCTAAAGACACATCCAAATCAAAAAATGAGAACGGAGCACCATCAGCAGCAGCAGCAGCAGCAGCAGCAGCAGCAGGAGCAGCAGCAGGAGCAGCAGGAGCGGGAGGAATAGATGAAGGCCCTGAGGAGACAGAGACAAACGCAGAGACAGTAAACAAACGCCTTTCAACGACAAAAAACAGAGACAAACAAAACACTTCAAAGATTTCTGCTGCAACAGCAAATGGTTGCTGCTGCAGCAGCAGCAAACATTACTGCTGCTGCAGCAGCAAAGACTCCTCTCCAGTAGCGCAGCACGAAACGCTGAGAGACTCCACTTCCTGTCTCCTTAGTTTTCTAGCTAGCTACCTACCTAGCTAGCTAGAAAACCACAAACCTAGCTAGCTAGGTAGCTAGCTAGCTAGCTACCTAGCTAGCATTTCACTTGAATGCCTCAAGAGCTGGGCACCCACCCCGCAGCCAGCTAGCTGGCTAGCTAGCTAGCCAGCTATCTAGCTATCTAGCTATCCATCTACCTATCGACATATGTTGCTAACCACCCATCCATCTCCCTATCTCTCTATGCTTTATAACAAGCTATCTAGCTGGCTATCTAGCTAGCTATCTAGGTAGCGAACCAGCTATATACCCACCCAATTAGCTAGCTAGCTATCCGCCTTTCTAACTAGCTAGCTAACTATCCAGCTAGCCAACTAACTAACTATCTAACTAGCAAACTAGCTAGATAGCTAGCTAGCTAGCTAGGTATGTAGCTATCCAGCGACCCAACTACCTAGCTAGCTAGCTAGCTAGCTAGCTAGCTAGGTATGTAGCTATCCAGCTAGCTAGCTAGCTAGGTAGGTAGGTATGTAGCTATCCAGCTAGCTAGCTAGCTAGCTAGCTAGCTAGTTACCTGGTAGTATGCGGACGAGGTGTATGTTTGCTTCTTTCATATGTCTGCGAACTTCCCAGGCGTCGCCGTCGAATTGAAAAGGCTGGGGGCCGCTAAACAAATAAAAAACGCAGCCCATCTGCACAACAACGCAAAGCTAACAACCAATCAACAATTAGCTAGCTAGCTAGCTAACTACCTAGCTAGCTATTTCTAGCTAGCTAGGTTTAATTAACTAGCTAGCTAGCTATTTCTAGCTAGGTAGGTAGAAGGGGAGATAGATTCATAGAGAGATAGATAGGTACATAGATAGATAGGTATATAGATACGTATGTAGACAGATGGAGACAGCTAGCTAGCTAGCTAGCTAGCTAGCTAGCTAGCTAGCTAGTGGTAGTAGAGCCGACGAAGAAAAAAAAAAGAAATAAAGTTATTATACGGAGGGGGAAGAAGAGACACAAGCTGCATTTTAAGCAGTGAGGTGTATATACACCTGAGGTTTATATATTTATTATTTATTGTTATGCTTGTGTATAGATATACTTTCTTTTCTTGAATTTGTTTCGCATATGTTTGCTGAAATAAATAAACGGCAACAATGCATGCATCGAGAGGATCAGCCTTTTGTCTTCCTTCCCGCAAATGTTTATTTATTTGTTCAAATGTACTCCAATCAAGGGGAGCGAAGGGCCTCACGATCTCTACATGTGCATATGCTGCATCTGCTGCTGCTGCTGCTCCTGCTGGTCCTGCTGCTGCTGCTGCTGGTCCTGCTGGTCCTGCTGCTGCTGCTGCTGCTGCTGCTGCTGCAAGTGGGTTGTGTGTGTTGCTGCTGCCGTATGTTAATACAGCAGCAATATGCTTCGGGTCTCCAGCAAAGCGAGAGGATAATAAAGATAGAGCAGCATCTGCTAGCTGCTGTACTAAGCCGCATGCAGCAGCATCTTCACCAACATCGAGCAGCAAACAGCTAGCCCATTGCATAACGTTAGACATATTCACACCACCACTATTTGCTGCTGCTGCTGCTGCTGCAGTAGCAGCAGCAGCAGCAGCAGCAGCAGCAGCGAAGGGGAATAAACACTACGCATGCAGCAGAACTCTCAATCGAGTTGCTGCTGCTGCTGCTGTTGCTCCCGGTTGCTGCTGCTCAGCAGCAGCAACAAACAGAAGGCCTCTGAGGGGGAAATATAATGAAGAAGAGCAGAGAAAATCGATGACTCTCCAATTCTAAATAATGAAAGTATACACCTGAAGTAAGAGAGAAGTTCTTTGGGGGGTAAAGGAGAGAGGTTAAGATACAGGGAAATGAGTTTCTCACAGCTTAAAACGAAGTAAATAGAATTAAAAATAAATAATTAATAAATTAATAAACAAACAAATCCAAATAAATTCAAACAAATTAAAACTCTTCATCGAGACTGCAGCCGAAGTAATAAATACTACAGCGGTAGACACAGCAGCCGGGGCAAACAGCACTTAAAGAAGAAAAGTCTGGTTAAGATTAAAATTTTTGAATTAATATAATTAAATTAATGTTTAATATTGTAAAAATCAAAAGATCAGCTAAAATATTAATTTATTTAAGTAGAAGCAGCCGCTTCATTCAACCAACACCGCATAATAATAATAATAATAATATATAGGCGAGCCCTGGCGCGGGCAGCAGCTGTTTGAGAATATAGGGTAAAATAAAGAAAAGTTTTCAATTTTTAATTTAAATTAATATATATTAATGTTGTTTTTATAGTATTTGTCAAATTACATTGCAGTTTCTCTATTGAATTGGGGTGTACAGGCATCTCAATTGAATACTCAACCTCCAATCAACCACTTCAGCAGCATCACAACTACTAATGTTTATAAGTTAATTAACAGTATTAAGAGTTTATTTCTCAATTATTTTTCTTTTCTTCTTCATTATCTACTCATGGAGCCCTCAGTTAGAGAAAGAGCTGCTAACACCAGCGCCTCTTATCCCTCTCAATCTAATTCGGGTGTCTATACACACCAACTACCCACTGCAGCAGAAGGCATTGCAGCACCCTTAGACGCTGCATCAGCAGCTGAACTGCATTCAGCGGCCTCGATAGGGGCCGCTATACCCCTAGAAGGTAAGCAACAGCTACAGCAACAGCTACAGCAACAGAAACAGCTGCAGCAAAAGCAGCAGCAGCAGCAGCAACAGCAGAAGCAACCTCGACACCAACAGCAACGTATGACACATGCAGCAGCAGCGGCATCAGCAGCAGCACCGCCATCAGGAGCAGCAGCAACATCAGCAACAGCAACAGCAGCAGCAGCAGCAACAGCAACAGCACGAGCAGCAGCAGCAGCAGCAGCAGCAGCAATCACCCCTTGTACGAAATGCGCAGTGGGCCCAGGGCAATTAGGGCGTTTAGGTGAGTGCTGCAGTTTGCATGTAAATCAGAGAAGTTTATTTTTTTAATTAATTAATTATTTATATTTGATGTCTTCCGGATATAAAGTGCTGCAGCAATAAAAATAAATTTACTTGAATAACTACAAAGTACTTTTATATTTTATTTAAATGTTTAAATTTATATATCTTTTTTGTTTTAAATAATATCTTTTAAATAATATCTAAATAATCTTTCATATCTACCCTTTTAAACTTATTTATCTTTTTTTTAATCAACAAACAGATAAATAAGTTTAAAAGTTTAAATAAAATATAAAAGTACGTTGTAATTATTCAAGAAAAATATATTTTTATTGCTGCAGCACTTTATATCCGGAAGACATCAAATAAAAGTAATTTGTCTTTCTTTTTAATTGCTTGTTTTTTTCTTTTTATTTATATTATTTTGTCTAGCAGGTAGAGGCAGCAGTTTATTGAGTTTAATTAAAATATTAATTCAAAGAGGAGATAAACTCTCGCTGTATCTACGAATGAAAGACGGGAGACTTATCCGAGGCTGTCTTATTGCTATTGATGCACAGATGAATTGCTTCTTAGAGGCATGCATATAAATATAAATATAAATATAAATATAAATATAAATATAAATATAAATATAAATATAAATA